AAGGAATTTGGATGCAGTAATGCTACTTCATTCCAAAGCAATACAACCAATTATTAAGTATTCGTTACAAAAAGTGCTTTACCAGAATAATGACTGAATCTCAGCAACAGTGACATAATCTTCATGATGACTGATCTCCTACAATGACGATCTGAATCAAGATTCTAGGAAATGTCTTACTAGATTGAAATTCTGATGCTTTTGTTAATGTGCTTGGCATCTTTGTGACTCGATTTGATGTGATAATTAGTACCTCTGTGGTATTAAGTCATTAAGTAACTTAGTTCAAAATGAGTGTGGTTCAGGCGCGTAACCAGTGAGGGGGGGGGGGGGGGGAGTTGGGGGACAAATACCCGGACGCTTGCAGAAATTTCTTCATTATGCTAGGAGTTTTATAAAAAAACCTTAAAAATCCCCCTTCCCTCTGAATTTTCCATATAAATTTTTTTCCCCCTCCCCCTCTTCAAATTCTTGGCTACGCCCCTGGTGTGGTTCCTCGAAGATCATCAGTTTAAATCCTACTATTTCAAATTTTGAGCTTTTTCGGACATTTAAATACTTCAACTGCTTAAGCAGTTAAGTGCCTTGCAAGCAGTTAAGTGCCTTGCTGGTCGAATAGGTAAGGCGCTTGGCTCAAATTTGGTATGGTAACTCGAAGGTCGTCGGTTCGAATCCAGCCATTTCCAAATTTGTTCTTTTTCAGGAGTTTAGATACTTTGACTGCTTAATGTAGCAGATCAAACAATATTTGGGCATTTGGGCAACATTGGATTAAGAAACGGGGCATGAACTTGAAGTTTTTCATGAGAAATTGTGACAAGAGCTTTACTAGATTAGCTTATGAATGAAATAATGATGAAAAAGCCTTTGAAGTGTCAAGCTTTTCCTGTAGAAAATTTGATACAAATGCTTCACAACTTTGAGACATAGCTAGAGATCTAGAAAGAAGGAAAGCAAATTCTTCAGTTTCTATACTGAATTAAGCTTGAATAGCACAGGTCGGTTAATCGATCAGAAATCAGGCACGGATCATGGTTCTGGATTTAAATTGAAGCCAGCATTATGCCAGAGTCATACCGGGTTGGTGCCAGATCTCTATTCGATTAACCAACTTGAGCTATTTGGAAAGCAACTTAGCAAAGTTGTGAGCCAAGCTTAACAAACAAAATTATTACTAAACATTTAAAGCTATTTTTTAAATCATCACAAAATAAATCTTTTCAAAAAATCATATTCATGACATTGAGCCAATCATCCATCAAAACCAACGACCTTGAATCCCAAAAGAATCAGCCTTCTATATTCAACCCCTTTTCTTTATGATTAATTAGGTAAGCAACATAATAGAAAAGAAAGTTGTTCCTATTGAATTGGAAGTAATAAAACTGCTGAGTGATAATTTTTTTTTTGTTTCCACAACATCAGCATGCTGCCAACAAAGAAACCATGAATCCCATTATCGTGATACGTTCTGAGAACTTTGATAATCGAATATTCCGAAATCATAAAGGAAAAGCATTGATTCGATTCAGGATGAAATGACTTTTTTTTTTATTCCGTTTCCACAGTTTTGATTTCCCATGGGACTTTTCTGTGTTTATTGTTTTTCATGACAATCAGCCCTGGCTGCTACTACGCATGCCTCACTCTCTTGTCTGATTCTCTCTCAATTATTTTTTTTGTTTCTTTAAATATTAAAGCCTCAATAATATCCCTTTTAATTTTCATACATTCACAACATGTTCCCGATATTTTTTATTTGTATGTTGCCTTCCAGCATAACAGCATTCTGACTGATTAACGTATTGAATCTCTTCAGTGAAAGGAATATTTTTACTGTCAGTTTATTTCATATGTTACGTCGGCAGAGAAAAAAAAGGAACTGAAGAATAAAAATGTGTTTTTATTATGATTGACGATCGATAAAAAAAAACTGGGAATGAGGTGAAGCATAGAATAGAAGGAAAAGTAGAAAAGAAAATCAGCGTAGGTGGATAAAATGGAACAATTTTTAAATAGGTATGGGAATATTTATCTTTGGGTTCGTAAGGAAGAAGATTGTCAGAAATATCGTTGATGATATTATTTGTTTTTATGGTCTCGACCATAATTTGACAGCTTTTTGGAGGAATTTTTGGTAGCTTATTAATGACGTCAGTTGATAAATTAGAATTGTTGGATCATCATTCGTTTTTGGAGCCGTTCAGTTATTACGTACGCTTTTAGGCAGGAGAGGGTCAATTCGTTGATTTTTCGCGTTTAGTAATAAGAGGTCGTTCACCTATTATGTTCAGGGGGGCAGCAATAAAAGAACAATAGAAATTCCTGAAAATCCATTGTTATTTTTTGAAAAATGACTGTTAATTTCGGACTTCACAAGTGAAAGATCCCTAAGCGAATAGTTCTTTTGGCTGAAATTCGGTTTGTAGATTGTGTGGCTCATCCTGAAAATGGAACCGACGCCATGTTGAATATCGAGGGGCATTCAATTATATAAACCTTATTTAAGCTTTATCTTTGATGTTTTATGACAAAATGATTCGGAAATGGCAACAATTATCAACGACTTGATACCGCTTAGTGATTTCAGTCACTACTAGTAGATGCCATACTACCAATGTAATATCGAATTTGAAGCCAAAACCTAGAGTGACCATAATTTTTATATCAAATTAATTTAAAATCAAATATCAATTTTTAAAGCTTCAAGCAATACTTCCATTCTAAAGTAGACTCTCAAAATAAACAGTATTCACAGCAAATTATTTTTGTACAGCACCAAACCGAACAACTGTAATGAATATTCATCAAAAAATGTTATACAGTTTCAACACATTTGAATTTTCATTTTGCCTAACTTGCATATTTACGTCTGCTGTTGCAAATTGACTAAAAATAATTTTCCCATTTTGACTTTAGTGCTGTATAAGTGCTTCTATTCACATCATTTGCACAACTTTCAAATGATTGAGTCAATTGCTTCATTATGATGAGCATGAAACATTGTCATAGAATTCAATTTTAAAAATAAATGAACAAAAAGTTTTAAGTTTTGGGGGTCGTTCAAAAATGATGTCTAATTTTTTTAGGGAGTTTGTAAAAATTCTACATGACAGAAGAATTGAGAGAATCTTCAAAATTCCAGATTTAAGAAAAACATCATTTATGATTGACCCCATGGAGACAACAAAAGTTTTAAAATTGGGATTCTAATTGTTTGTGAAATGTTTCGTTTTTTTTTTCGCAAGCCGCGGTTGAGTTTGTGAACGGAAGGAAGCCTAAATGCTCAAGGATTTGAATATTTTATTAATAAACGCGATTTATGAGAAGGCTTAATTTTCATCTTTCTTTTTGTACACAATGTTTTTGTTGTCTGGATCTTATTTTTTTGGGTTTATATCTCCGTCATTTTTAACTGGGAGAATAGAAATGTTTCATTATCCTTAATGTCTCTTTAAAGCCTTCCATTCTTTAGTTCTATTAAAGTCATTTCAACCCTCCTTCGTTTAAACACCTTCAAGCACTTCCTGTATCAAAAAATGACATTTTTTTTATTTCCAATTCTGCGAAATCGTTCAGAAAATCGAAAGGATGATAACGTCATGCTTGTTATAATATAGAACGGTAATATGACATTTTATTTGACAATTTTTTTTTCGATTTCAGATTGTAATAACTTTAGATTTTCAGGTAAGCGATATGCAATATCTAGTCTGTAGCAAATGGAAGCACATGAAATTGGCAATATGATGTTTTTCGCTGTCACATTAATCTCATAAGGTAGATGGTAGTGAATAAATGTTATAAATTGAAATAGGAATCGAGAAATGGAAATTTTATGATTTCGAGGTAGTATTATTGACTTAATGGCTGAAATATGATGATATCTTACATTTTTATGTGATATTTGAGTTTCATTAGGTTTTAAAGTATATAATTTATTTTTGTTGAATTGCCATTGAATTAACGGAGGATTTGGAACTGATCAAAATAATCAAATATTGTTTCACCATAAGTTCTCTACACTTTAAATGAACCTTAGCTGTCCAGACTTAAAGAACCAGAGCTGCACTTTCTGTGCGTTACAAAGCTGGTATTATTAGTTTAATGAATGAGAAATTTGCTTAACACTTAGACCTCAAGTTTATATTGGGATTCCGAACCATTCCTTCAATGACATTACTGACTAAAGCCTACAAAGAGAGGCTGTGAGATGATTCGAAAAAGGACAAGAAATAAAATTTCTCATGCCGAGTCTCGAACTCATGATCGCTGTGTCGGTATTGTAATAATTAAATATCACATTACTAAACCAAATCGTCACCGAGACACTTAAATTTACAGGATAATTTTCACTGTTTGCAATATAATTGAAATTTGAAGCTTGACTTTAACTTGACTTTTGGGTTTTGAATTTTTGTTAATAATTCTTAATATAGAGTTGATTACAAGAGTGAAATAATCAAAGTATATTCCCCAATTCTTCAAATTGTTTTTATTTAAGCAAAAATTATTCCCGCTTATCAGAATTGAGTTTGGGGAATTCCTTACGTCAGCCTCAATATAACTTGTTTTGGTTTCAGCTTAATGAACTTTCAGAAAAAACACACAAAACAAGTTTTCTGCTTCGGGCCGTTCACTTATTACGTAACGCGAAAAAACAACTTTTTAGACCCCCTCCCTTGTAACAATAATTGTATGAAAAAATTCTTTTATTTGAATCGTAACAAAATATTAGACCCCCCCCCTCCCTTAAAGCGTTACGTAATATGTCAACGGCTCTTTTGGGGTTAGTTCATAGAAGAAGAAGACCAAAATTTTATTCTTGACAATTTTTCGAAAATTTGACCTTGACATGAAAACATGTAGGGGGGGGGGGGGGGTTAAAATGTTGTTTTCGGATTAACGTTATTTTTGTACATAATGTTATAAAATCTTATTCTTAAAAGACGTTACGCAATTTATCGACGTGCCATTAAACAAATTAGCAGATTTAACAAGAAATCTTCAGACGAGGAACAACTTCTGTGACTATAAAAGACTGCGCAAATTAGCAAAAAAATTCATAACTGTTTTGACTTGAGAACTTATTGGTATAAAAGCATATATTGTTAGTAAAGATGCAATCAAAAGTGTTTTTCTTGGTAAGTTAAATTAGCTTTAACCTTAAAATGCTCAATTAATTTTTTTCATTTTTTCAACAATATTTTAGGTTTGTTGTGTCTTATTGTGCACAGTTTCTGCACAAATCTTATTTGCTGATACACCAGAATGTAGTCATTTAGAGTGTGGACCAAAAGCTGTATGCAAAGTGAGCAATTTCGGTTACGCATGCAAATGCAAGAGTGAATTTGGAGGACCTTATTCAATGGCATGTTTTGGTTAATGTTTTCAAAAAAAAAACCAAATAATCATTAACTGATAAGCACCGATTTGGTTCCATAACTGCTCCACACTAGTTCAACGTAAGAACATCAAAACACACAAATTTAACCCAATTTTTTTTTGTAACACTCGTAATGTGCGATAAGCGTATTATCATATAATAAATTAAACTGATACCATACCTCTTTACTCTCAACTTAATTTATGATTCTGAATTGTACTTACAGTGAGTTTTTTGCCTCTCTTTTAACGCAGTGGTGTCCAACCTTTTTTGTGCCATGGGACACTTAGTGTTAAGCTATGATCAAAACCGCACACAACACACGAATCGTGGGATATCACATTAGTGTGCCGTGGCACACGGGTTGGTCATCACTGCTTTAACATAAGCATAAAGAAAAGGGGAAAATAATCTGATAAATTTCGCTTCTTCTTAGGTATGTATTCACAGGATGTGCTAATAAAATATGATTAATGTGAAATTTCTTTATCGTATGAGGCATAATTTAATTTTTCGTGTTGATGATTTAATATTCTTTAAGGTTTCATTGTTGATAAGAAATTTAAATTTTTTAATAATTCATGCAAATTTTTGAGTACAAACTTGTAAGCAAATGGTGAAACTATTTGTAGGTATTGCCCCCCAAAACCCATCCTTTGCCTTCAATTCCGACCATACTCAACCCATCATCATTACCTTCAACACATCAAAAGCAGGACATAAATTTTTAATCAAACCCACAAAAACTAAGCCAAAAAGGAAACAATAAGATGAAGAAATGCGTTAAAAAAGTGTGTAAAAAAATTTGCCATTAATTTTTCAGGCTCCAAAAAAAAGGTGGAGGATTTAGAAATTTATATTAATTCTACCTTTCAGGGGCGTAGCCAGGAATTTGAAGAGGGGGGGGGGGATGGTTTCGACTTTTTCATAAAAACTCTAGCAAAACGAAGAAATTTCTGAATTTTGTCCCCCAAATCCCCCCTCCCCTCCCCACCTGGCTACGCACCTGCCGTAACCATTTTCCAGCTCTTATGCACTGTCAAAAGGAAAATGAATATTAAGAATAGACTACCTGACACAAAGGATTGTGTAATCATCTTCCTTTGCATTCTATTGTGCTGTAAATATGGAAATCTTCATTAAAATGTAAAGGAAGCATGAAAGCTTTCCAAATTTTTCTTTCCTTTACTTTCAAGGATAGAAAATTGCTGCTCGTTGACTTGCAAAAAAGCTCACCAAAAAGAAAAAAAAAATATTTTTATCCTACTTTTTTTCTCGAGTGAGCAGAGTAGGATGAATGCTGAAAATTGCTGATTCTTTTACATTATCTGAATCTTTATTCGTTTTTGTGGAAATGCCTTGAAGGAAGGAAATAAAAATTTAATTTGATATTTTATTATTATTCTGATGAAAATTCTATTAAGCTTGTTTTGGGAAGATAAAGAGATTATCTTGAATGGACGATGCGATACTTAATCGAGATTGGTTTTACATAACTAGAATCGTTTATTGTTTGACATATTGATTGCTAAGAAGCAATAGTGCCTTAATAGCTCAGTTGGCAAGGTACAGATCACAAAAGTTGGTGTTGAATTCTGACTCCTGGGTTTGAATCCCACCACAGCCTAGTAATTTTTCAGAAGTTAAAATACTTCGGCTTCTTAGGTGCAGCAGTTTGAGACGTAAAACTAAGAATTAGGCGATGCAAGATGGAGAAACGTGTCAAGAATTATATAGACAGAATGCGAAAGCCGTGAATTCACCATTCAGAGCTTTTACTGGAACGGACCTGGAGACATTGTGACCTACTGAAAATTGGAACGAGAGCCGACATGATTCGTTCAAAAAAAGCACAATCTTCATTCTCGTTAAAAATACTTTTCCAGCAAATCTCCTGCTTTAAAAAGGCTCATCCACCTACATTTCAAGACAATTGTCTTCCCATTCATCCACAACGTAATAAACTCATTTAAGGAAAAATAAATGAACATTTCAAAATGATGATAATAGAAAAGCGTGACAATAATCAAATCTCAAATTATCATAATGAAAATGTCAGCTATTGCACGTCGTCATCTCTATGGAAAATAATGAGACTTTATCATCATTATCATCATAAGAGTGGCCATTAGCAAGCTATAAATTTTACATTAAAATGAGCGAAAAGATTCCATGTCAAAAGCGTGCATTATTTTTAAAGCTGAGGTTGCTTGCGTCAGCAACTTTTATTTCCACTTCCTTCATTCCAGAGAATGAATGTTGAATTTCCATGTTTAAATGTGTCAATTTTCGTGCGATGAATTGGATTAGTTGCTAGTCGGGCGTATTTTCGCATACAAATTGCTCAATTTGAGTGAATGTCATCGTGGTTTTGGATGTGAGAATTGTGGATTAATGAGTAATTGAGAAATGACGAGGTGTGTTGTTGGGAACGTTGGGGGTGAGAAGGCTAACCATGGGAGAGCATGAAGCTGGCATGACAAAAAAAATTAAAATTTGCCATACTGATTCATGCTTTATTTTGTATTCAATGGAATGGTTAAGCACTTCGATACCTAATTATTGCAATAACACACAGCGATCATGGGTTCGAGACTGGGTATGAGAAATTTTTCACATGTCCTTTTGCGAATCATTTGTACTGGAGTTGAGGCTCACATCCTTCCTTTGTAGGCTGCAGGCAGAAATGGCATCATAGGAGTGGTTCGGATCCCACTAAAATTGCAGATCTCGGGTTGAGTGCATTGGTTTGGAGCATCGTCACTCGTTAAACTCTCATTAGCTGGGAAACGCCCTAGCACACCTCTGGATCACAATTTAACGGAATAAAGGTCAGATATCCATTTTAACAGGAATATTCGCCCTACGAAGGCTCTGTTTTAAGAAGACAGCAAAACACTCCTTGCCAGAGCCTTAACAGATCAATGAAAATACCTTTTTCATGTGTGTCGATCAGATTACATCCACAAAAATATTAATATAAGTCAACAAACTTCCATGCATTTATAGCTTTCTCACAAGTGCTCAGTAAGAACTTTATCGGAAAAAAATCATTGAATAATCAATACCAATATAATTAGTATTTTATGACACATCCAACGCACCACACTGAACTCACTTTTAAACAATATTCAAAATCCTACAAATATTTGCACGTGAAAGAAATTTTGTTTCCATTTCATTTGTTATTTAAGCGTAAACAAGTTTACTTTCATATAAATAACTTCCAGAACTCATGACAAAAACAACAGAATATGAAGAAAGTATAAAAGGCGGATGAGAGAAATTGTAAAGTTCAGAATTGCTTTAATTTGTGAGCATTTGGTTGTGTTTTTGTGGATTTTGAAGCTACATCGTTTATGATGCGATTAAAATACTTATTGCCGGTGAGTTTGGGAATGTCTTGTGCATTTGGGACTCGTTCATAAGTTGTGTTAAGTGACATAAATCAAAATTTCAAATTCTTCACAGATTTGTCTTTGTGAAGGGGCCGTCGACTTATGAAATTTAAGGAAATCTATTGTCATTTTTTGAAAAATGACCGTTAATTTCGATAGTGATAAGCCGCTCAGGAAAAACTGATTCTTTTGTGTAGTGTTAAACCCCTCTAGACTCAAAAGAAATCAAACGTCATTTTTGAAAATCCCCTTAAAATCCAATTATTAATTTGCATCTTCGTCTATTTATAGATTCTCTTCCTACAGTTCATAGCTGTTACTGCACAAGACATAAAACCAGAAGATAACTCACCAGAAGGATGTTTTATGGACGTTTGTGGTGAAAATGCAGTCTGCATAACAACACAAACGGGATATGAATGTTTATGTCCTGAAGGATCGGTTGGAAATCCTGACATGAGATGTTATTTTAAAATATAGATATTATTGTCAATACTTTGTATGATATTGTCGATAAAATTTATTATAGTTATTTGAACAATGCCTCAATAAATTTTTGGATATCATAACAAAATAATAGGAAACCTGAGATAAAGTCAAAAACAACTAGCATGTATCATACAGAAATTACCATATTTTGGCATAACAATAGCCATGTTCTGATGTTTGAATTTTATGTCATAAAATGTACATGAATTTCCTGAATAATGATTTTGTTCGTCATTTAAAGGTTCGTTCATAAATTAGGTCCATTAAGATTTGAGGCTTATAGTCTGTTTAAAGGTGCGTTCATAAATTAGGTCCTTTAAGATTTGAAGCTTATAGTCTGTTTAAGGATTCGTTCATAGATTAGTTCCATTAAGATTTGAAGCTTATAGTCTGTTTAAGGGTTCGTTCATAGATTAGGTCCATTAAGATTTGAGGCTTATAGTCTGTTTAAGGGTTCGTTAATAAATTAGGTCCATTAAGATTTGAATCTTATAGTCTGTTTAAGGGTTCGTTCATAGATTAGGTCTATTAAGATTTGAAGCTTATAGTCTGTTAAAGGGTTCGTTCATAAATTAGGTCCATTGAGATGTGAAGCTTATAGTCTGTTTAAGGGTGCGTTCATAAATCAGGTCCATTGAGATGTGAAGCTTATACTCTGTTTAAGGATTCGTTCATAGATTAGGTCCATCAAGATTTGAAGCTTATGGTATGTACAACGTTCTGTGTCTATATATTTTCATTTGTTTGGAAGTGTCATGCATTAATGAACAAGCCTGATTGGTATAAACAGTTTATGGATTATGTTAATTTTTATGAGATATTCAGAAGATTTGTGGGATGTTTCATCAATTTATTGGCCATAAACTCGATTAGAATTGATGTTTTAATTAAAGGATATGATATTTTAAGGAATTGAGAGGAAATAAAGCTTTGAGAGGCAAATTTGATGGATTAAGTAGAATAATTCAGGAATTTATGTTTACAACAAAGTGACTGATTTGAATATTAATAGAAATTGAAACTCTAATTGGCAACAGCAAGTCCTGAATTTGATATTATTTGAATTTTATGTAAAATTTTATTCATAAAATGAAACATCATCGCAGTTTGCATTTAAATGTTGTCAAATTGATTGAATTTCAGTTGCAAGTGTGTCATTGTTTGAAATGGGAATAAAAAGAACTTCCAGCTACAGTTTTTTATCAGAGCAGAGTTGACATTTGGATGTATCTAGCAATATTGTGTCTTCTACAACCGGCAAACACGAGAAAATTAGACTCCTAATTGCAGGTAACATTCTTTAAGCTTTTGCAGCTTGAAACCATCAACCAGATAACTCTTTACAGCGGTTTAGACAAAACTTTATGAAAGAAAAGCATAAATGCCAACTTAATCATCATAATTAGCTATGCCATTGACTCAAGATCAAGATCCTTAATTAATCATTCAAAAGAAACCAAAAAAGTACACAAAGACTTGAAAATTATTCTCACAATCCAAACTTTCCAACCACAAAAGCCTCTGAGCTTTATTTAACAAAACTTTTGTAATGTTTCAATGTTGCCTCACACAACAAAACTCAGCTTAAATTCCGAGAAGACTTAATTTAATCTACAAACATGCACAACCTACATTCAACATTCTACTTTATTGAAACAATCTACAAAACAAGAATAACTGACAATTTTGTAAGGAAACATAAATTTGGTGCTCACTCTCAGAATTGATTCAGACAATGAACAGCTATTTATTCTACTCATGTTCAAATATCGATATTTATCTTAATCTATATCCTTAGGACATGCATGTGTAGGCAGATCTATACTATTAATATCAATAGTGTGCTATTTTCACAATAATCAAACGATAATGTTACTCATTTGACGCCAAAGGGTATATTAATGAAGGACAACGTGACTAGTGTGGATGGAGCTAAAGATAATGTGTCTTCTGAGATCGGTAAGTGACTGAATTAATTATTTTAAGAGTGCTGCTGATTTTTATCAAGGCTGAGAAATCGATTTTGGTATTCGAGGATTTGGATTTTAAGGGAATTTAAAGTTTGGGTAGATTCAGTAGATCATTGAGCTTCTAATCTCTTCTGTTATGGCATTTGGCATTTATATGACCAGTGAATCGATATCCAACCCCTTCCTTTATGTACGCCCCTGACGCTAGGTGTAAACAGGGAACTAAGTTGTGGGCTCTATGACAGCTGAGGGAGGGAGAAGAGGTGAGGGCAGGGATTCAAATTCTAGAAGATTCAACAATTAAGTTAAAGTTTGTAGATTCCCAAAATCATCAGCCATCAATCCATTAAATCAGAAGCAAGCTATAAAACCAATAAAATAAATTAATTTGTACTTCAATACCTCCATAATTATCCCTTAACAATTATCTCTTAAAATGGACATGCAACAACAACTTTATATTTTTGTTTAAGTCAACAAATTAAAATTTCAGGTCATTGAGACAACCTGATTCTCATATCACAGATTCCACTGCCTTAACTTTTCAATTTAAATGTCACATTCATGCTATTATTTCCTTTTAAAGTTTTCTGGTACAATTTCGATAACTTCTTACTTATATGTCAGTCATGTAAACTAGTTTCTACTACTTAAAAATACTTCATTGATAATCAACAATCAACTTCCAATTAAAGGACAAGCATCATAATGAAAACATTATTGCTGAAAATAAAAAAAAATAAGAAGTGAAATTCACATTCGAAAATACCAATCCGTTTCGTTCACACTTGGACTTTAAATGAACTTATATTTCGATATCTATAATTGAAGTCTCTCAGTTCTTTCGTGACTTTCTATACATGCACGCATACATGAGGACGGTAATCGGTTTTTTAAAACCTGTTTTGTGCCTTTCAATGTATGCATCTTTACATGTATTTGTGGTTGAAAGAATCTTCGTATGTATTAGTGTTAAACAGATATACTTAAATCCATTAACAGTGCCCAAATGGATTAATGCTAAAGCTTTAAAAAATAAGTCAAGTCACAAATCCAATTTACTGTGCCACAACAACATTCAAATCCCTTAAATTTTAAATCTTTTTTTTAAAAAATGAATAGCAGATCATTATTATTAAGCGTTTCTGTTGATCGTCATGCCCACAGCAATATTCGACTGCCGCTATTTGTTCGTGTCTCTTATATATTTTCATAAAATATCATAAAAAGCATCCATGCATGGCAATGGTTTAAAATAAAAATTAAAACTAAGAATATCATATAAATATTTCTGTAATGTGAGCATGAGAGCATGGAATAACCGTACAGGTGCATGAGCATATACACAAAAATGCAACAATAGCAAATAGTTTAACATGATGTGGTGTGTACGATGTACAGGTAGTTGTATAAGTCTTTTGTTTGTAGGCTTCGTTTTTGGATGAGTAAATGAAAGAGGATGTAGTTTGTATGGCGGGATGTCTGCTAATTATGTTGAGAATTTCCGCTCAGGATTTGGCATCGGATGCTTAAAAACTTTGTGTACAGCAGTTTAAATGTTAGCGTTTATTGGTCTAGACTTAATTAATTTACAAGCAGTGGTAGGAAGGGGGTTCAACAAGAGGTTGCGGCCTTTATCCTGCACATATTTTTTTATCATTTTTAATTCTTCATCTTTGCCTATTTTTGGGCTCTTCAGAGTCTTTAAAGTGGTTTCTGGGTTACCAATGGCTCCTCAAGGCTAGCAAGAGCTATTTAAGGTTGAATAAGACTAAGACAGAACTTTCTAGAACAACACAAGATGACTTAGGGATTCTCAGTTCAACCTAGAGCGTATCTCGGTTGGCTATTCTAGGACTATCTTACAGCCCTTTAATACCCTTGTGAATAGGTGGAGCAAAAAAACTTGAACTTTTAAGGGGTCGTTCACTTATGACGTCCATCAAAAAACCTGATTTTTAGACACCCCTCCCCCCCTCTGTCACAAAAATTCTATAGAAAAAAATTTCCATTGTTTGAACTGTCACAAAATCCTAGACCCCCCCTAAATGTCAGACGTCATAAATGAACCCCCTAAGGAGAATTATGCATAGACACAAAAATTGATAAGGGGAGGGGGGCCTTTTGGCTTAAAATGATTTTAAAAAAATAATTTTCCAGTGGTTTTGACTATGTAAACCCCTCTGACTGCACCCCTGATATTGGTGAGGTTTTTGTAAAAATAATCTCATAAACCCCCCGAAATGCGCTTTAGTCATTCTCGACCCATTAAAAATTTCCTTACTTGATTTTTGAAATGTTTCAGTTTTTCAACAGGTATTCACAGAAATTGGATATTTTACCTTTTCAATGGCGAGAGACTCTATTGTGTGTATTGATTACGATAATAGACCCGACAATTGAATTGCATTTAATTTTCTGCTGACTTTTATAATGAATTGATTCCGAATAATTGCATGCGAGGATGTAAAGAGCCTTATTCTTTGCTCAATTAATTTGCACAATTAATCGCACAATTGTTGATGATATTCCCCAAAAATGGGCTCTCCAGAATGGATATTTTATATGAAATTGACAGAGCAATTTAAAAAAAAAACGGAATTGAATGGAATTTTAATTAAAAGTGGCTTGATGCTTTCAGCATCCATACACATGTTCTTTAAAAAAAGATACTCAACAGAATGTAAACTTGACTTCGTAATTGCCGCATCAACAATTCTTATGCTGTCTTATAACATTTGTGTTTGTGTTGTAATCAAAACTCACACACTGGTCATGTCTGCTCAACAATACCACGGTTGTGTATATTTTATATAAAGAGAAGTTAAATATAAAAATAATTTTACACAAAAGAAATAACTTTTTTTTAAAACTCAGTCTGTAAAGTGAAAACTATAAGCCAGTCGATGAATTGATGTTGACGGTGAATTGCGCGCTCAATTTTTTTTTTTCGTACGCTGGATTTTTGTTTTTTGTGAACCGTGAAAATTATTTGGTGAAACTTTTTAGTTGATTGAAAAATTATTTTTGGATGTTGGAAATTATTTTTGGATGTTGAAAATTACTTTTGGATTAAGAGCTATAAATTGTGGATTAAAAGCTATAAATTGTTGATTATTGAATAAATTTGGAGAAACGACTGATTGATATATTGACCAAAAGTGGATGTTAAAAAAATAGTATTGTGAATTCGGCAAAATTTGAATAAATTATTCAGTGAAGAACCATTTCATTAGTGGATGCAAGATAGAGTATAATTAAAAAAATCTCAAAATTCGCCCACATAAATCCAAAATATTAAAATTCTAAGCAGATTAAGATTGAGAATATTTTCATCTCACATCAAGTGTTGATTACAAGTTGAAATAAAAAAAAGAAATTTTGTGTTGCACGATTTAAAGGCCAAACTCGCAAAAGGTACAGAATAAAAAAAAAAGTTGAATCCCAAGTGAATAATTTTTTTTGTGTGCTGTTTGAGCGAAAAAGATCAAAAAAGAAGAAAGAAAAAGTCAATTTTTTGTTCACAACGGCACGAGAGAGAAACAACAAGGAAGCAAACAACAAGAAAACAAAATAAGGTAAAAAAAAATTGTCTCGAGCTGTGCATGTACAGGCATTTGCAAATGAATAAAAAAAAAGATGAAAGGAAAAAAAAGGGAATGGAAGCGATGAGAAATTCATCATTTTCAGTTCTATTCATGAAATTTATGCACATTTTAAAATATGTACATGTACTCGATCATGTATAGACATTCTGAGAAAGTCAGCTTGATTTCAATATTATTTAGTTTATGATGTTACCTTCCTCTACAGTTGCATAACATACGGCAATAAGTTTAATTTAATTTTTGAACTAGAAAAAATTAGAGCTGCAAGAGAAACTTTTCATCATATTCAGTTTGAACTTATTGCATGCCTTGAAGCTACGGATTCATCATCATCATTTTAATGAAGACTCAAAACTTCATCCTTAGTGTTGTTAATATTTGCAGTACATGCTATTGTCTATGAACATATTTTTTCAAGGTTTAGATGAATATTTGATTTTTTAGACCATTTTGCGGATGGTTTTGTAAATTTTATGGGATAATATTAGTAATGAGATGGTTAAAGAAGTCTTTTTGGATAGGAATAATCATGTCTAAGGTCAGCTATTGCCACTGTCTTTTAAATATTTGCATGTAAAGTATGATTTGCGAGTTTAATTAAGAATATTTTCAAATTTGGCTTTACTGAGTCTCGAACTCACAATAGCAAGGTTGGTGTTATAGCTTTTTTGAACCACAGGTTGAATCCAATACACTACTGCTCAATTGTTTTAGTATAAGCTTCAATGGCTTAATATTAACCTCATTAGCACCAAAAAGTTAAAAAAGTCATCAAAAAATAACTACAAACTTTATTCAATTTCAATTTCAAACTTTATTTTGATTCCAAATGACTTCCAAATAAGGTTTTGTGCCTTCCGTAAAATCCTTGCTTCCTCAGTGATGCTCTTTTCAGAACCATATTCTCCATTTTATTACTGACCGTCATAATTTAAAAGATAACATGTCCTATCCTCAAGCTACTCCATGTCTCATCTTCAAAGATCTAGCTCTACCTTACTTTACTACATCAGCTTTCCAAAAGCTCTATACAAGTGAAAAAAACATAAGCATATTATGAATACATTACTACAGGACATGCAAGCCATCTGCCATCATTGTTGTTGACTTTACAACTACTTCAAATCGAGAGAGAGAGCGCGAGAAAGAGTATTAAGAATGAAGAACATCTTTTGTCAATTTCACAAAAAAAAGACATGTTGACATCCACAAAAATAAACAATTTTCAACCCGCGACACAAATTGCCATAAGAAAGAAACTTAAATACACATTTTCTTCCATTCTCAATGTCAGCGAATGATTTTTTGATGTAAATTGGATATAAAATGCTACACATAGCATGTTATTGCGGATTTTGAGTCTTATGCAATCAAGCTATATCGAGTAAAAAAGATTATTTTTTGTACTGTCTACTGTTGCTTACTTAAAGGATTTATGGGATGATTATCTGGTGGATTTTATGTCGCTTGTTTTACTCCTGTTGCCGCTATTGCGGAAATCTAAAGATTGGTGACCCAAATTGCACAAATCAGTTAATTGATCAGAAATCTGGCATCGAGCCGTTGTGACTATGGCATGGTGCTGGATTTAAATCGAAGCTAGCACTATGCCAGAGTCATGTCAGCTTGACACTTGATTTCTATTCGATTAACCGACTTGTGATATTCGGGTAATTTTATTAAACCATTTATTCGATTATGTTAAGGAGTTATTGACTTATGACGTCCAGAGGAGGGGGTAGGGAGGGGGGGGGGGGGGTGGTGGGTCAGCAAGAAAAAACAATAGAAATTCCTGGAAATTCATTGCTCGTTTTTGAAAAATGACTGTTAATTTCGGACGTCATAAACGTGAACGACCCACAAGTCCATTGTTGGTTCCCTATTTTTTTTCGAATTTTGCTAGCTTCAAAAAATTGAAAATCTTCTCAACTATCCATAAATTTCGAGTTTTATTGTGTTTTGAGGATAACTATGGAGCAAACAATGATGCTGATGCTGATACTTATGATGAGAATTTTGATTTAATTAAATGAATTTATTCAGCAGTTATTGAACAACCTTCATCGCATAGCAACTTTTTGTATGATAATATGCGGGTGAATATTAAGATTGAATGAATGAGCTTGTTGGATTGTTTGGTAATTTGCTGGATGTACGATGATTTTGTGGTTTTTAATGCATTTTTAGGGGTATTTAAAGAAGTCGATTTAAGCTTACTTTTACAAAATCTACAATTGTGCACAATAACTTTCTAACTCAGCTCTAGATACTCTTTGAGCTTTAAAATGAGCTGCAATGCCACAAAAGGGTCATATTTTAGTCATTCACATCTCTTGTTTCCTTCTTTATTCAATGAATATCATCAAAATACCTCACAATGATTATTTCACCTCATTCAATTTTGGATTTTCACACCATTATTTAAATGTAAATAAGCTAGTCAATTGGAAATATTTCTTCAAGAGCACTTGGAACTGTTAAAGCTACAAAAGCCATCTATGGCATCACAAAAAGAAAGAAAAAAAGATTTAATTGAATTTAAAAAGTGAGATCGACTTTTATTGTTTGTTGTTTCGCTTTCAAAGCATTAATCTGTCGATAGTGTGTATCGTATAGCAGCCGAAAGGCAAATGCAAGTTTAGTAGGGAAATTAATATTCGCGTGACACAAAAATACACTTTTTTGCTTTAAACAATTTTTTGATTTTTGACTTGTGCTGAAAAAAAGTTTTTGATCTCAATTTAATGAATTCTTTCTTCTGTTTGCTTTTCTGTGCTTTGTTTTGTCAACTTTGTATGCTCGGTAAATGAAAGATTTGTTTTTGTCAAAGGGGTCGTTTGTAAATGACGTCAAATCTATTAAAATGATTTTTAAAATCTTTCATCACATGATTAAAGCTTTTGTCCAACTTTTAAATATTGAACCTCATTTATGGACAACCCCAAGACTACACATTCATTCATTTCTGTCGTGAATATTTGCTCAAGTTCTACTTGACAATAATGTTAACATTTTGATTCTGAAGAATTTCATTTTTTATTTCATCTCATCTGTAAAATTTCCTTACGTGTGCTGAAATGTGGATGTGAGGGGAATTGTAAAGGCATTTGACATTTTTATGATGATTCCTGTCAAAATCATGAGAAAATGTTTTAAATTTATGTTCAAGGTGGATTTTGTGTTTAAGTTTTAAGGTGAAATTTTGAATTTTTGTATCTTTTTGGTGATTAAAGAGGATTCATGATCATAGAGGCTATGCAGGTGGATATCCAGAAAACAAGGAAGGAATTCTGCACTGCTAAAAATAAGAAAATGACTTTGAACTATTGACACATGCTTCTGATTGCTAGTTTTATGGCCATTTGACTTTCTGAAATTTGTTTGATTAAAATTAAATTGCAGCAATTTAAAAACTAATTTATTCCTTCCAAATGGTCCTTAATTGCCATTAAAATCTTCATGAATCTATCGAAAAATTGCGTGGAAGCAAGAATCGTCTCTAATTTCCTCATTAAACTCACAAGAATCTACAAAAATCCCTAATGTTTGCATACAAATGTTCCTCATAAATAGCCTCACATTCAAAAAATTCAATAAGACTATCCAAAGACCCCTCCTATCCAATTTTAAGCTCTTATCGCTATTTCTATAATATTTTGACAATTTTCCTTGTCAATTTAAACAATTTACAGCCAATTTATGTCAATCTAAATCTTACTATAATAGTTTTCTAATCTCAAACATAAGCTAATTTTAACATCTATAATTTTTTTTATAATTATGCAAATTTTTTTCATTCCATTCATTGACGGTGAGCCAACGATCTTATCAAAAATCGTGAGACACATTTAATAACAAAATTCAAATCAAACAAATGTAAATTACCAATTTTACGACTCTAATTTTTTCTTCGTCTGAGAGACACGCAAGAAAAGAAAGAAATCGCTTCTATTCAATTTTTCTAATGAAATTTTCATATCATGATGTTCTGCTTTTTTTTTGGTACATAAAAGAAGTAAGACTTAATTTTAGCAAATAAGCGGGAGAAGAAACGAGCAATAACAATGAGCATGAGACAGTGAAAAAAGGTTGGAAAGGAAAGGGAAAAGAGTGCTTATTGTTAAGAATGATTTGTAGATTTTTGGGGATTTGTGGGACGTAGACTTGATGTTTAGGTGTTTAAAGTGGTTTGGAAACTTGATTTTAGTTCCTAAGGATTCAAACATTAGTTTTACAAAGATAAAATCCAATTTCTGAACGTTTGGTGTATAATAGGAATCAAACCAATGTCTTCTACGGTTACAAGTGTCAAATGACTAAAGTTATGCATGAGTTTGACCTACAAGCTATCGATATCTATCAAGAATGATGGCAGTTTGCTAATTTTCAAGTATGAAGTCTATAGTAATATCCCGAATGGTACAAATCGGTTGATCGATTTGAAGTACGGCACAAAGCTGGTATGACTCTGGCATGGTGCTTAATTTAAATCGAAGCAAGTGTCATGTTGGCTTAATGCCATATTTTTATTCGATTAACCGACTTGTGCTATTCGGGATAACCAAAGGGTTTAACCCTTCATTTCCTTGTTGATGTTAAGCGTCATTGATGCCCAACCTTCCTCGAATTTTATCAGTTTAAACTCCCCCAACTCCGTTCAAATTGTACAAATCTTGTCTTATCAAGTTAATCAATTAATCTTAATCATAAATCCCTCAAAGAGCAATAAAATCAACAACAAATTTTGACCTCTCGAAAGTTTTACGATCCTTGAAAGCATATCACATCTCCCGATCAAGGTTCATCTCCCCTTGATTGAAGGCATTTTATGTTCCAAATAAAGCGAATGAAAGGAGAAAAGATTCAAAGCGACTGATTGTTAAAAATGGAAGAAAATAAAAGCAAAAAGAAGTACATGATCTTGAAATTCCAGCACTGGTTTTATACTTTGTATAGTATCATATAACATT